CTCAGCCTCCCGGGTAGCTGGGACTACACGCATGCGCCACCATGCCCGGCTAATTTTTTTCTATAGATATATTTTTACTTGTCCAGATAATTTCTTTCTATTCTTAGCAGAGATGGGGTCTCGCTCTTGCTCAGGCTGGTCTCAAACTCCTGAGCTCAAACTGTCTGCCCGCTTCGGCCTCCCAGAGTGCTAGGATTACAGGCGTGAGCCACTGTGCCAGGCCAAAAGTTAATTTTTATAAGTCGTATGATGTTTCCACCCTGTGCCAACTCTAATTTCAAGCTAGGGGCCTCTGTCTTTGGCTTTATGATTTAGAAGCCCTGCTCTGGCCCTCCCCAGGGCACCCCCACCACTGTGGGACAAGTGGATATGCCCATCTGGAGTTCTCACCTCCTCATCTTTTCCACACTCTTCACTCAGGACCTTGAAATGAAGGGTGTGTGTTCTCCTAGACCTAACGTATAGGCAAAGGGTGGCTGTTTGGGGGGATGGGTAGAGCTTAGACATGGGTGCTTATTATTTTGGGGAGAAAATGTAAAATCACACTGAAGCCAGCATAGACTTAGAATTTTAAATAATAATAATAATTATTATTATTATTATTATTATTTTGGCCAAGCTCCAGTTCTATCTAGAGGCTTCTAGCTTTTCCAGATAGGATAGGAATGTTTCCAAATATGAACCATTTTCTACTCCTATACAGGTAGGAATTTGGAAGTTTGTGTGTGAATTTTGAGAGGAAACAAGGTGTTTAAGGAAGAAGTGGAAATGGCTGCTTTTCTGAGAGAGGTTAAGAAAAACTACACGTGGGCAAAGTCCTTCAGAGCCCTGATGGCAAAGTGTGGCATGGGGTTGGGGTGAGGCCAGTGCTCCCCTTATCAGCTCAGAACCCACCACCACTCTGATAACTCAAAAAATGTTGATGCTTAGAACATCAGGTGATAGCATCCTGAGCATGGACCCAGAGGTCAGCAAAAGGCATTTTGGAGATATAGAAATGAAGTTTATTTCAATAGTTTGAAGGGCAGCAGGCTTTAGCCAGGAAGGTGGGGGACAAAGGAAGACAGCTTTGCAGATGCTGCAAGATGACTTGAGTCTGCCCATTGGTGACTTCAAGACACAGGGAAAACCCTTTACAGACCCAGCTTGTAGGACTTCAGCCACTGGCATTTGGATGTTAAAAGTTAAGCAATGAATATGAAAAGACAATTTACGGAAAAAGTACAAATGACCGATAAGCTTTTGAAAAGATATTCAACTTCACTAAATAAATACAAACTAAAACATTGAGATAAATTTTTTTCCAATTAAATTGGAAAAGTTTAACAAAGTTGATATCACCCTAGAGAGAAAGGGGCACTGTCATATATATCCAAAAGTGCACAAAGACATTCATTATAACATTGTTTGTCATGGCAAAAAATGGACAATAAATGTCCATCAATGGATTAATGAGTACATAAGCCGTAAGATGCATTACAATGGGACACAATGCAGGAGTTCAATTCAGTCACTCTATCTACACTGACTTGAAAAGATGGAGGTTTATGAGATGGTAAAGAGAAAATTGAAGGCTGATGAACAAATTATATACCTTAATCTCATTTTTAAAAGAAAACCTATGCACACAGAATCAAAAATTAGCCTACCACACTTTCATAGATGCTGGCAAAAGTTGAGACTTCTGGGTCAGAGACAAAGGGGAGTTTATTATGCAAAGTAATAGCATAGACAGAATATCAGTATACTACCAATTCTCCTACTCACAATTTCCAGAAGGCAATATGAAATAGGCCAGGTGATGTGGACACATACAGTGGGTCATGCTACCGAAGGGGAAACCTGAACTTAGGGAACCCAAATCTTTTACACTGGGCATTAAGCCTTCCTGACCTTACCTTTGTTATAAAAGAGGGAGACACTGTCTTTATTATGTTGCCCCATAAAAAAACAAAATCAAAGACAAAGAAAAAACAAAACACCTACCTTTTGCTCTGAAGGCAGACACTGTATCTTTCAAGGCTGTTTGCTATACAGACATCGTTGGAAAATATAGTCCTTAACAAAAGCAATCGTAAGTCTTTGCTTATGTACAGTAACATGAGAGATTTGTTGAAAATTATGCCCCACATTCCAGTATCATTTGTGTTCTATGTAAATAAAAAAAGTTATAGCTGTCAATTAAAATGGAATTAATTAAATGTTATTTTCATAATAATAATTAAAGGTTATTTTACCATAGAACAGCAAAAATGTTGATACTCTGGTCATCAAATATCAGATGTATCTTTTTATACAAATGATACAAGAATATGTACTTATTGTGGCTGATATATTGTTCATTCTATGCTCATATTATACAGTATAAAATGGGTGATAATGGTCATTTTATCTAATGAATATTTCTCACCCACTTAGAAAAGTAACATCCCAGACTGATTGCTGGAATTATTCAAGACAAAATTAGAACAAGAATTTTTTAAGTTGTATAGCTTTAATGACAGCCATCACATGCATAATTTTTTTCTCACATATTTTTCACTGAAAAATTGTTCTTTGAAAACTATTATATGTCAACATCTCAACAAGAATCTTTTACTCTGTAAATAATACATATTATCTGTCTAGGAGAGTGTTGATTAAATGACAAATTTTTTTTTTTTTTTTTTTTGAGACAGAGTCTCACTCTGTTGCCCAGGCTAGAGTGCCGTGGCATCAGCCTAGCTCACAGCAACCTCAAACTCCTGGGCTCAAGCGATCCTTCTGCCTCAGCCTCCCGAGTAGCTGGGACTACAGGCATGCGCCACCATGCCCGGCTAATTTTTTCTATAGATATATTTTTAGTTGTCCAATTAATTTCTTTCTATTTTTAGTAGAGACGGGATCTCGCTCTTGCTCAGGCTGGTTTCGAACTCCTGAGCTCAAACAATCCGCCCGCCTCGGCCTCCCAGAGTGCTAGGATTACAGGCGTGAGCCACCGCGCCCGGCCTAAATGACAAATTTTTTGAGCTGAACTTCCAACTTCATTTTAATGTTGCAGAAACTGAGGCCCAGAGACATTGAGTGATTTGAAGGTGGCTAACAACTAGTTAATGTCAGAGCTGAGACTAAACCCCACATGCCCTGACTTGGAGCACAAGGCTCTCTCTTCTTATCCAAACCCACATACATACATGATAGAGCTCTCAAACTGGGGTATGCATACCCCTGAAGGCAATGGCAGCAAGCCAGAGAGGGAAAGCCACAGGATAAACACAGGGTGTCTTGCTTCAATGTAAATATTACACAAAGATTTGAGGAGAGTTAGGAGAACCACTTTATTTTTATATTCAACAAGATTGATTATAAAGAGGAATGCACATTTTACATGAATTTTTAAAATTTCAGGCTGGATTCCTCTGGCTATAATCCTAACCCATGGAAGTTAAATTTCTCTCTGCTCACTCTGCTAGGGATACTTCTTTTGTAAAAATTTTATGCCACCAACACAAGGATGTTTAAGAAGATGCTTTTATTCAAAAAGTGCCTTCATTATCTCCATCCTTGACATCCCATAATTAAATTTGCTATATTTTAGCCCTTATAATCAGTTAAATGGTAAATTTTTCTTGAAGGAGCCCATGAAGACCTTATAATAAATGAGTTCTCTGTTCCTTTCCTAAAAATAGGTTTCGTTGGTTTTATTAAAAAATATCCTTCTGTTTTTAATTAGTATAAGCTGAAAGGTTTAAAAAATAAATAAAGGATAAAAGTTGTAAGTGTGATTTTAGTAGAGATTAACTGGTGAATAGTTTACTTCTGTAAGATGCTCTCTACAACTATTTTGCATATGATTCTAAAATCACATTTGTATAATATACAAAATTCAGCAAATATTATGCTTTTCCATTTTTAACGTAGCATATTCATGAATAATATCTGAAATGCTGTAACACATATTAACCGCAAAAATGGGAGACAAGAGGCCAATAAATTATTTTATAAGCTTTCCCAGTGGACCATTCCTCTCATCTGATTTTTATTTCTGGGATTAAAAGCCACTTAAACAATAGTTCTCAGATGATTATTCCCTCCGTCATAGCTTGGAGGACTTTTACTCCCACTCCAGTGCCCGATATATTTTAGAACTACTGAAATAATGTGCACTTGATTTCCCCACTGAGACATTTGTTAATGCTCCATTCCAACACCAGCATTTTTAAAGCTTGATCTATTTCAAAAAGCTACATTTGATTCCTAGATTTCAAGTTCTAATTTGGAGCCAAAAAATCAATTTATTCCATGCAATCAAGATTTTTTAAGTGCAGCATGTTAGGCCCTGGTAGAAGATAGAGATGTTTCAAACAGTGTCCTGCCTCCAAAGTTTCCCAAGCTAGAGGGAAACAGGACTCACATAAATAAGATTATAAAATAATCTATGCTAGAGGTTCCATTACAGCAAGAGGACATGTCCATTTCAAAAATAAATAAATAAAATTCACAGTTGGAGAAGACTGGCCAAATAGTGGCTCAATTTATCCATTTTCTTCCAGAGAAAGGATTTCTCAGCTACTGAACCAATATGTACTTGTTCTTGGCCGATAAAGTCAGCAGAGTTCCTTCCATTTTTCTGTGCACCTCGTATCTTGGGGAGCCTTGATATGGCCACCCCCATCTCCATCCCAGGTCTGGGTCTATGGTGAGGCAAGTGGGGCATTGGCTTTTATGCAAGCGAGATGTAAGAAGGCACCAAAAATTCAGCATTCCAAATAAATAACTAAATGCAATATTTAAAAAAAAAATCAAAATGTATGCAAAAAACATCTATGATGACCAAAATATCAAAATTTTAAATAAAGACAAGAGCGGTAGTACCACCTTACTTTCTTTTTGCGTCAAGTTCCGCTGAGATACCGCAGGGCACTGCTTCACTCACCTCTACCCTCAATGCCAGTGGTCGCTAGACACATCTAATTTTCGGAAACCTAAATTTTCTGATACTCAGATCTCAAAGCAATGAAATGACCCCTGTGCGGCCGCGGTTCGGGCGCCCCGACCCTCTCGTGGTCTCAGGCGGAGCTGGCCGCCCCGCGCCGGCATCCACCGCACGCACCACGCGGCTCCGCGGAGACCCGAGGGTGTCCCGGGCACGACGCGGTGCTGCTGTAGGGCCTCACGCACCAACGTCACAGAAGTCAGAGCTGGGCTTCAAATCTTCCCTAGATTGGATTGGCTTTTAATTGACTGGAATGCGGTAACTTGGTAACAGGACAATGAGCCGCCCGCCAAGACCAGTCTGTGCAGCCCACGGGCCAGATCCGGCTGGTTGTTGGTGCCCCCCGCCACCATGTGTCCTGGAGACCCGCCCCCTCCGCCCGGCGCCTTCCCACGCTTGAGCTTGCTTGAGGCACCCGAAGCTGTCACACCGAGTGCTCGCTGGGTAAGCAGCGCCTGCCTCCCAGACCAGGAGCCCCTCAAGCCCCTGCTCTGAGGCCCAGTCCTGCCTGCGGCTGTCCCTGCGGTCCGAGGAGGAGGCGGGTGGGTGAGCGATGGCGGACCCCACCCAGACCCTCCACCAGGGCTAGAGGTCCGTAAGCTCCTGGGTAGGGTTTCGGGGCTGCCCTTGATGTCCACACTGATAACTTACATTGATCTTTTCCCACTCAACATCTGAGATATATTATATATATATATTCTAGAGCTCTTCCACCTGTCTGGAAAGACTTGGGGCTATGGTTAAACAAGGCTGCGAGTTCTGTAATAAACTGAAAGCCACTCTCATTAAGTCCTAACTCATAGTGTGTGTGCATGTTGCATGTAGGTATAGGAATTTATCATCAGAGAGGATATTTTCTTCTATAGATTTTTAATACAGGTCTTATTCTTCTAGGACTTAATAATCCCACAATACTTTAAACATTTTTTTCTATTGTACCTAGATCCTTACAGCGTTGAGCAATGGAGGAAGCTGCTGCTATTTTCCCTGTGCTAGAACTGTTCACATCCCAGTTCTGTGTTAGATTGTGTTTATTTTCATTATATGGTAACCAATTAATTGAAATCTGATTTCCCCCCCTCATCAGTCTACTGAAATTGCCCTCCAAATTCAGTACATTTTCGGAATAACATCCTCTGCCACCCAACGCAGTGCTGCCGATTTATATTTTTCCTTCTTGAAATTCCTCTCTTGGCTCCCTTTTATTCCTCTGCCTAAGTTTATTACCAGCCCTCCTCTGTCTGCTTCCCCGCATGTTTTCCTCCTCCGCTCTCCACGTAGACGCTTCACAGTGCTCTTCCTCTTGTCCCACTCTCTCCTCTGGGCCCACTGACTCACCAGATCTACACGGCCACCTTGATGCAATCTCCCAGAGACCCGTGTTCACACTTGCAGCTTTCTGGTGCACGCCCTGACCTGTGTGTTCCACCAGGGCCTCAATCTCAGCATTCCTCAGCGCATCCATCTTTCCTCCCAGCCACCTTTCTCATCATGAAGTCGTCACATCATCCTCGTCATCATCACCTGGGACTTCCCTCACCCTAATTCTCTGCCTTCAGTTTCTTGCCAGTTCCCATCAGTTCTCCCTAAACACACCCCATGTCATGTCTGTTCACTGCTCATTCACACTTCCCACCACCCTGGGACAGGCTCATTAGCTCTGGCCTTGCTTTTCCAGAGGTGGCCTTGTTTCCTGTCTGCAATTCCCTCTACACCCCAGGACCCCATACATGTTGCTGCTAGAGTCATCTTCCTGAAGCCTAGCTTTGTCAGGTCTTTCTTCCTGTTCAAAAATCCTGTAATACCTTTCTATTGCCCCAGAATTGAGTGATGCTGAATTACCCAATAGTTAGTTAAGCCTGTGCTTTCAGGGTACCAGCAAAACAAGGGCACCAAAAGAGAAGAAGGAAAAATATTTTTTAAATGACTCGATAGTAGATATTGTTTAAAAACATTAATGTAGTTGTCATGGAAAAAATCATAACTTACGGGACTGTCTTACCTGAATTTTTACCATGAAATTACTTGTAAATTACTTGTAAATTACTTGTAAATTACTTGTAAAATACCATGAAATTATTTGTAAATATATTTCATATATATATACATACACATGTGTATATATACCATATAAAATTAAATTAATTTTAAATTACAGATTATATAAAATATGTGACTTTAACTTAGAGTTCTCAAGACCTGTAAAAGTTTTATCTGGGCGCTGATTAAGTGTACACTTCTGAACCTAAATTTCAAAGTCAGCACAAATAATAGGACCCTAATCCACCTGTCTTAATTTATTTCTCACAATTGCCTTCCACGTGCCTTTCACTGCAGCCAAAGGCTGTACAGCCCCAAATGCCTCACACTTTCCCCCCTACTTCTTTTTTGTGTACTTCCTCCCCTCTTCCACCAACATCCTATTTCTCATTTCTCCTCACCCTGTAAGGCCCAACCCAACTGTCAGTCTTGCCCTGAAATCTTCTCAGCATGTCCAGGCTGACAGTACAGGCATAGTTGCCTTTTGCTTTATTGCACTTTGCAGGTATTGAATTTCCTACAAATTAAAGGTTTGTGGCAACTCTACCTCAAGCAAGTCTATCAGGGCCATTTTTCCAAATGTACATATTCACTTCATGTCTCTTTGTCACATTTTGGTAATTTTCACAATATTTCAAACTTTGTCATTATTATTATATCTGTTATGATGATCAAAGATCAGTGATCTTTGATGTTACTATTGTAGTTGTTTTGGGGCACCATGAACCATACCCATAAAAGAGGAGGAACTTAATCTTTAAATCAGTCTGACTGATCTACTGACTGGCCATTCCCCCATATCTCCCTCTCTCTCTTTGGAACTCCTTATTCTCTGAAACACAATAATATTAAAATTAGGCCAATTAATAATCCTACAATGACCTCTAAGTGTTCAAGCGAAAGGAAGAGTCTCACATCTCTCACTTTAAATTAAAAGCTAGAAATGATTAAGCTTAGTGAGGAAGGCATGTTGAAAGCCAAGATAGGCTGAAAGCGAGACCTCTTGTGCCAAACAGCTAAGTTATGAATGCAAAGGAAAAGTTCTTGAAGGAAATTAAAAGTGTTACTCCAGTAAACACATGAATGATAAAGAGCAAAACAGCCTTATTGCTGACATGGAGAAAGTTTTAGTAGTCTGGATAGATCAAACCAGGTACAACATTCCCTTAAGCCAAAGCCTAACTCTTTAGTTAGCAAGACCCTAACTCTCTTTAATTTTATGACAGCTGAAAGAGGTGAGTAGCTACAGAAGAAAAGTTTGAAGCTAGCAGAAGTTGGTTCATGAGGTTTAAGGAAAGAAGCCATTTCTATGACATGAAAGTGCAAAGTGAAGCAGCAAGTGCTGATGGAGAAGTGGCAGCAAGTTATCTAGAAGTTCTAGCTAAGACAATTGATGAAGGTAGCTACACTAAACGACTGATTTTCAGTGTGGACAAAACAGCCTTACGGTGAAAGAAGATGCCATCTAGGACTTTCATAGCTAGAGAGAAGTCAATGCCTGACATCAATGCTTCCAAGGACAGGCTGACTCTCTTATTAGGGGCTAATGCAGCTGGTAACATTAAGTTGAAGCCAATGCTCATTTACCATTCTGAAAATCCTAGGGCCTTTAAGAATTGTACTAAATCTACTCTACCTTTGCTCTAGAAATGGTATAATGCTGACTGAATGACAACACGTCTGTGTACAGCATGATTTACTGAATATTTTAAGCCCACTGTTGAGAACTACTGCTCTAAAAAAAAGAAATTCCTTTCAAAATATTACTGCTCATTGACAATGCACCTGGTCACCCAAGAGTTCTGGTGGAGATGTACAAGGAGATTAATGTTGTTTTCATGCCTGTTAACAATATCCATTCTACAGCCAATAGATCAAGACTTCATTTTGACTTTCAAGTCTTATTTAAAAAATGCATTCCATAAGGCTATAGCTGCCATAGATAGTGATTTTTCTAATGGATATGGAAAAGTAAATTGAAAACCTTCTGGAAAGGATTCACCATTCTAGATGCCATTAAGAGCATTCATGATTCATAGGAGGAGGTCAAAATATCAATATTAACAGGAGTTTGAAAGAAGTTGATTCCAACCCTCACGGAAGACTGAGGATTCAAGACTTCAGTGCAGGAAGTCACTGCAAATGTGGTGGAAACACCAAGAGAACTAGAATTAGAAATGGAATTTGAAGATGTGACTGAATTTCTGCAATCTCATGATAAAACTTGAATATGTGAGAAGTTGCTTCTTAGGGATAAGCAAAGAAAGTGATTCTTGGGGCTGGGCATGGTGGGTCACACCTGTAATCCTAGCATCCTGGGAGGCCAAGGTGGAAGAATCGCTTGAGGCCAGAAATTCAAGACTAGTCTGAGCAAGAGTGAGACACCATCTCTACCAAAAATAAAAAAATTAGCCAGGCGTGGTGATGCACACCTGTAGTCCCAGCTACTTGGAAGGCTGAAACAGGAGGATCACTTGAGCCCAGAAGTTTGAGGCTGCAGTGAGCTATGAGGATGCCACTATATTTTAAGAAATTGCTATAGTCCCTCCAATTTTCAGCAGCCACCATCCTGATCAGTCAGTAGCCATCAACATTGAGGCAAGACCATCCACCAACAAAAACATTGTGACTCATTGAAGGCTCAGATAATTATTTAGCATTTTTTAGTAATTAAATATTTTTATATTAAGGTATGTACATTTTTAGACATATTGCTATTGCACACTTAATAGACTACAATATAGTATCAACTTAACTTTTGTATGCACTAGGCAACCAAAAAATTTGTGTGACTTGCTTTATTGTGATATTCACTTCATTACAGTGGTCTGGAACCAAACTCGCCATAATTCTGAGGTTTGCCTCTAATTTTTTCTTTCTCCGAGTTTTCCAAAGCATGTTTTCCTTTTCTTATAGTCCTTAACATTTTCAACCTTCTTTTACAGCATTCATGTTCCTTCTCTTACAAAAGGTTTGCTTATAGAGAGCAGGTGTCTTACCTGATGCATTGTCACATTTACCAGGTAGTCATAGACAACTAGTCACCACTTGAATTAAGCACTTAGTAGCTTATGGTCCAATAAATGGTTGAATGAATCTGGACATACTATTTAGAAAATGTTCATTTTAAAGAATGCTTCTTGTGGACAAATGCTATGGAAAATGGTGTGGTGATTACCACTAAATTAAACACAGAATTACCACATGATTCGGCCATTCCATCTCTGGGTATATACCCAAATGAAGTGAAACGCAGGGACTCAAATAGATATTTTGTATACCCATGTTTATAGCAACATTATTCACAATAGCCAAAAGATGAAAGCAACCTAACTATCCATCAACAGATGAATAGGTAAAGAAAATGTGGGGTATTGATACAGTAGAATATTATTCAGCCTTAAAAATGAAGGAAGTTCTGACACATGCTAAATGAATGAATCTTGAAGATATTATGCTAAGTGAAAAGGACAAACATTTGTCACAAAAGGACGAGCACGGTATGACTCCACTTATATGATGTATGTAGAGTAATCAGATTCCTAAAGACAGAAAGTAGAAGGGTGGTTGCCAGGCTCGGGGAGAGGTACACAGGGAGTCAGTGTTTAAGGAGTACAGTTTTGGTTGCAGGAGATGAAAAAGTTCTGGGAATGGATGGTGGTGATGGTTGCACAGCAATGTGACTGTGTTTCATGTGGATGAACTTAATGCCACAGAGCTATAAACTTAAAAACGACTAACATGATAAATTCTATGGGATGAATATTTTACTATGAGAAATAGTTCAGGGAAAGGATGCTTGTTGTGCTTCTGTAGACGAGGGAATATGCTACCAATGAAGCTGTGTGTTGACTGGGAACTGGAACTGATCCGCCATGGATTCACTGAAATGCAAAACCTCTTGACACATTTTTGTATTTCTTTGCACTTTGGCATTAATACTTTGTATCAAATTCATACAAAATTATCATTTGGAAAGAAACATGCCAGGATAAAAAGTTGTATACATAAATAATTAATCATGCCAGTGATTTACATATTATGCAGCTATTTCAATTTCCCTTTTCATCTCTTATGTTTCTACATTTGATTTAAATCCTTAAATATTTATTCTATGGCTTAAATTTTGAAAATGTGTATTACTTTCTGATTATCAAATTAATATGTGTTTATTTAAAAATAGTCAAACATTATTAAAAAATCTATTGCTTAGCGAAAGTCCCTCATGATTTCAAGTGATGACTTTTGCTAACAATTTGGAGCATGTGCATTTTGTGTACATATAAATGTTATGTTTAAGACAAATACTGGTATACATATTATACTGCCAATTACTTTTTTACTTAAA